CCCTCTGACTGTACCACCACCCCTCTGACTGTACCAGCACCCCTCTGACTGTACCAGCACCCCTCTGACTGTACCAGGACCCCTCTGACTGTACCACCACCCCACTGACTGTACCAGCACCTCTCTGACTGTACCAGCACCCCTCTGACTGTACCAGCACCCCTCTGACTGTACCAGCACCCCTCTGACTGTACCAGCACCCCTCTGACTGTACCAGCACCCCTCTGTACCAGCACCCCTCTGACTGTACCAGCACCCCTCTGACTGTACCAGCACCCCTCTGACTGTACCACCACCCCTCTGACTGTACCAGCACCCCTCTGACTGTACCAGCACCCCTCTGACTGTACCAGCACCCCTCTGACTGTACCACCACCCCACTGACTGTACCAGCACCCCTCTGACTGTACCAGCACCCCTCTGACTGTACCAGCACCCCTCTGACTGTACCAGCACCCCTCTGACTGTACCAGCACCCCTCTGACTGTACCAGCACCCCTCTGACTGTACCACCACCCCTCTGACTGTACCAACCACCCCTCTGACTGTACCAGCACCCCTCTGACTGTACCACCACCCCTCTGACTGTACCACCACCCCTCTGACTGTACCACCACCCCTCTGACTGTACCAGCACCCCTCTGACTGTACCAGCACCCCTGACTGTACCAGCACCCTCTGACTGTACCAGCACCCCTCTGACTGTACCAGCACCCCTCTGACTGTACCAGCACCCCACTGACTGTACCAGCACCCCTCTGACTGTACCAGCACCCCTCTGACTGTACCAGCACCCCTCTGACTGTACCAGCACCCCTCTGACTGTACAGCACCCCTCTGACTGTACCACCACCCCTCTGACTGTACCAGCACCCCTCTGACTGTACCACCACCCCTCTGACTGTACCACCACCCCACTGACTGTACCAGCACCCCTCTGACTGTACCACCACCCCTCTGACTGTACCACCACCCCTCTGACTGTACCACCACCCACTGACTGTACCACCACCCCACTGACTGTACCACCACCCCTCTGACTGTACCACCACCCCTCTGACTGTACCACCACCCCTCTGACTGTACCACCACCCCTCTGACTGTACCACCACCCCTCTGACTGTACCACCACCCCTCTGACTGTACCACCACCCCTCTGACTGTACCACCACCCCACTGACTGTACCAGCACCCCTCTGACTGTACCACCACCCCTCTGACTGTACCACCACCCCACTGACTGTACCAGCACCCCTCTGACTGTACCACCACCCCTCTGACTGTACCACCACCACTCTGACTGTACCACCACCCCTCTGACTGTACCACCACCCCACTGACTGTACCAGCACCCCTCTGACTGTACCAGCACCCCTCTGACTGTACCAGCACCCCTCTGACTGTACCAGCACCCCTCTGACTGTACCAGCACCCCTCTGACTGTACAGCACCCCTCTGACTGTACCAGCACCCCTCTGACTGTACCACCACCCCACTGACTGTACCAGCACCCCTCTGACTGTACCACCACCCCTCTGACTGTACCACCACCCCTCTGACTGTACCACCACCCCACTGACTGTACCACCACCCCACTGACTGTACCACCACCCCTCTGACTGTACCAGCACCCCGCTGACTGTACCACCACTCCTCTGACTGTACCACCACCCCTCTGACTGTACCACCACCCCTCTGACTGTACCACCACCCATCTGACTGTACCACCACCCCTCTGACTGTACCACCACCCCACTGGACTGTACCAGCACCCCTCTGACTGTACCACCACCCCTCTGACTGTACCACCACCCCACTGACTGTACCAGCACCCCTCTGACTGTACCACCACCCCTCTGACTGTACCACCACCCCTCTGACTGTACCACCACCCCACTGACTGTACCTACCACCCCCACTGACTGTACCACCACCCCTCTGACTGTACCACCACCCCTCTGACTGTACCACCACCCCTCTGACTGTACCAGCACCCTTCTGACTGTACCACCACCCCACTGACTGTACCACCACCCCACTGACTGTACCACCACCCCACTGACTGTACCACCACCCCTCTGACTGTACCACCACCCCTCTGACTGTACCAGCACCCCTCTGACTGTACCACCACCCCACTGACTGTACCACCACCCCACTGACTGTACCACCACCCCTCTGACTGTACCACCACCCCTCTGACTGTACCACCACCCCTCTGACTGTACCACCACCCCTCTGACTGTACCACCACCCCACTGACTGTACCACCACCCCACTGACTGTACCACCACCCCACTGACTGTACCACCACCCCAACTGACTGTACCACCACCCCACTGACTGTACCACCACCCCACTGACTGTACCACCACCCCTCTGACTGTACCAGCACCCCTCTGACTGTACCACCACCCCACTGACTGTACCACCACCCCACTGACTGTACCACCACCCCACTGACTGTACCACCACCCCACTGACTGTACCACCACCCCTCTGACTGTACCACACCCCTCTGACTGTACCACCACCCCTCTGACTGTACCACCACCCCTCTGACTGTACCACCACCCCTCTGACTGTACCACCACCCCTCTGACTGTACCACCACCCCACTGACTGTACCACCACCCCACTGACTGTACCACCACCCCTCTGACTGTACCACCACCCCTCTGACTGTACCACCACCCCACTGACTGTACCACCACCCCACTGACTGTACCACCACCCCACTGACTGTACCACCACCCCTCTGACTGTACCACCACCCCTCTGACTTTACCACCACCCCTCTGACTGTACCACCACCCCTCTGACTGTACCACCACCCCACTGACTGTACCACCACCCCACTGACTGTACCACCACCCCACTGACTGTACCACCACCCCTCTGACTGTACCACCACCCCTCTGACTGTACCAGCACCCCTCTGACTGTACCACCACCCCACTGACTGTACCACCACCCCTCTGACTGTACCACCACCCCTCTGACTGTTACCACCACCCCTCTGACTGTACCACCACCCCTCTGACTGTACCACCACCCCTCTGACTGTACCACCACCCCTCTGACTGTACCACCACCCCTCTGACTGTACCACCACCCCTCTGACTGTACCACCACCCCTCTGACTGTACCACCACCCCTCTGACTGTACCACCACCTCTCTGACTGTACCAGCACCCCTCTGACTGTACCAGCACCCTCTGACTGTACCACCACCCCTCTGACTGTACCACCACCCCTCTGACTGTACCACCACCCCTCGACTGTACCACCACCCATCTGACTGTACCACCACCCCTCTGACTGTACCACCACCCCTCTGACTGTACCACCACCCCTCTGACTGTACCACCACCCCTCTGACTGTACCACCACCCCTCTGACTGTACCACCACCCCTCTGACTGTACCACCACCCCTCTGACTGTACCACCACCCCTCTGACTGTACCACCACCCCTCTGACTGTACCACCACCCCTCTGACTGTACCAGCACCCCTCTGACTGTACCACCACCCCTCTGTACCACCACCCCTCTGACTGTACCACCACCCCTCTGACTGTACCACCACCCCTCTGACTGTACCACCACCCCTCTGACTGTACCACCACCCCTCTGTACCACCACCCCACTGACTGTACCACCACCCCTCTGACTGTACCACCACCCCTCTGACTGTACCACCACCCCTCTGACTGTACCACCACCCCACTGACTGTACCACCACCCCTCTGACTGTACCACCACCCCACTGACTGTACCAGCACCCCTCTGACTGTACCACCACCCCTCTGACTGTATCACCACTTCTCTGACTGTACCACCACCCCCTCTGACTGTACCACCACCCCCTCTGACTGTACCACCACCCCTCTGACTGTACCACCACTTCTCTGACTGTACCACCACCCCTCTGACTGTACCACCACTTCTCTGACTGTACCACCACCCCCTCTGACTGTACCACCAACCCTCTGACTGTACCACCACCCCTCTGACTGTACCACCACACCCTCTGACTGTACCACCACCCCTCTGACTGTACCACCACCCCCTCTGACTGTACCACCACCCCCTCTGACTGTACCACCACCCCTCTGACTGTACCACCACCCCTCTGATTGTACCACCACCCCTCTGACTGTACCACCACCCCTCTAACTGTACCACCACCCCACTGACTGTACCACCACCCCTCTGACTGTACCATCACCCCTCTGACTGTACCACCACCCCTCTGACTGTACCACCACCCCTTTGACTGTACCACCACCCCTCTGACTGTACCACCACCCCCTCTGACTGTACCACCACCCCTCTGACTGTACCACCACTTCTCTGACTGTACCACCACCCCTCTGACTGTACCACCACCCCTCTGACTGTACCACCACCCCTCTGACTGTACCACCAACCCTCTGACTGCACCACCTCCTCTCTGACTGTACCACCTCCTCTCTGACTGTACCACCACCCCTCTGACTGTACCACCAACCCTCTGACTGCACCACCTCCTCTCTGACTGTACCACCTCCTCTCTGACTGTACCACCACCCCTCTGACTGTACCACCAACCCTCTGACTGCACCACCTCCTCTCTGACTGTACCACCTCCTGACTGTACCACCAACCCTCTGACTGCACCACCTCCTCTCTGACTGTACCACCACCCCTCTGACTGTACCACCACCCCTCTGACTGTACCACCAACCCTCTGACTGCACCACCTCCTCTCTGACTGTACCACCTCCTCTCTGACTGTACCACCACCCCTCTGACTGTACCACCAACCCTCTGACTGCACCACCTCCTCTCTGACTGCACCACCTCCTCTCTGACTGTACCACCTCCTCTCTGACTGTACCACCACCCCTCTGACTGTACCACCAACCCTCTGACTGCACCACCTCCTCTCTGACTGTACCACCTCCTCTCTGACTGTACCACCTCCTCTCTGACTGTACCACCACCACTTCCTCCAGGCGGGTCCAGCGACCATCCTACTGGAGTCGATGCAGCAGTGTCGTCGGCGTCCGGGTGTTTCGGCTCCCGTACCCGCCCTAGATTTCCAGTCCGTTCGTGCTGACCTAGCTGCCGCTCCTGAGACACACGTATTGCTGCTCCTACAGGCGCTCAGACATGTAAGTCCCTTGTATTCTATTGTATACTTTTGTATGCAGCGTAATGATTGACTGTGGCTCGATTATACATCCTCGGACTTGACTAAGTCATTCTGTTGGTGATGTGAGTGGAATGCTCCCATGTTAATGTTTTAATCCCAAGGAAGTTCTGAACTTGTTGGGGTCATACAGCTCGTGGGAATGAGAGGTGATTAAATTTGATGTAAGAAAGGGGAAAAACACAGTTTCATTTATTTTAATAAGAAATCCATCACCACTGCCATCAAAACTTTTAGTGTAAAAGTCTGTAGAGCTATACCACAGCGTCTGGACATAGCTATAAGCTCGGTAGTGAAGGATAAATATTATCTGTAAACCATAGACCTAATTCAATGGTTCTTCCTCATTTTTTTGCCAGAGTTGATTATATTAATTATATTTACCCACGAGATGAGACACACACACATGTTGTTAACGTGTGTTGCCAGAAGCGGGATTCCTTGCAATGGCTAAAGATTTTTAATGCCTGATGCGCTGTTATGTGTATTCCTCTGTCACAAATAATAATTTGTACGAGATTAGTGCACAGGGGAAGCTTATGTACTATTGTTGAGTGGTTGACTATGTGTAAGAGAGGCAAGTGACCTGTATGTCTCTCTTCAGCTACAAGAGCAGAACAATGCTATACACAGATAACCCGCACATGGGAGAAAGACACTTATGACGACGTTTCGGTCAGACTTGGACCATTAACTAGCCGCACCGAAACGTCGCCATAAGTTTGTCCTATGTGCGGGTTATTTGTGTATTGTTCCAGTCACGGTATCGTGACTTGTAATTTCAGAACAATGTTGTTGCATGTCCCGTCCTGTCCTTAATCTACCGTAGGAATTTCTTTTTCAATGGTTGAAACATTTACTACCAACTAATGTAACGTGTCATTTTTCCACCACTTTTTGAAAAGTATCCCTTAGCTTCTGATTTTTTTAATCAACTTGTAAGCTGTGTCTCTTGTTTTCTCTCGTGATGATCTGAAGATATTTAATTTATCTTTCTTTTTAATCATTCTATCACTTTGTATGTTGTTGTTATGTCTCCTCTTGTTCCTGCTACCTTCTATGATCTTGTATGTTGTTGTTATGTCTCCTCTTGTTCCTGCTACCTTCCATGATCTTGTATGTTGTTGTTATGTCTCCTCTTGTTCCTGCTACCTTCTTAGACTTTGTATGTTGTTGTCATGTCTCATTTTTCTTGTTGCCAGCGTGTGACGCGTGTGACGGCTGGTAGTGTACGTCAGGCGGTGGTGACGGCGTATGTCCGGGGTGACGTACTGGGTCTGCGTGGATCGAGTCGTTCCTGGGGTCGTTTGGCCGGCGCCTTAATGAACCCAGAGTCACAGCTCCTGGCCCAGTCTGCTGCTAGACTCATCAACGCCCTCACTGCCTTCAATGCTGGCCGGAGCTACCTAGCCAGGTGCTCACCCAAGCCTACTCATAACTATAAAATATACACTACGATGCACAACAACCACGGGGGAAGTTAAATGATAGCTCTAGGCCTTTCGTGTTGCAATCAACGCATTAGGAACTTACAATGTTGCAGATTCGCTCAGGGGAACGTTTTTGTCCTACCAAAAAAGTTTATTTAAATAAATCTGCTTGGACTTCCTACTCATTTCTGCAACACTGCAAGTTCTTGATGTGTTGACTGCAACAGGAAAGGCCTAGAGCTATTATTCAACCTCCCCTATGGTTGTTTTGCATCTTGTATCACTTGTTCACGGTTATTGCACTACGATACATATTAGGCTTTTTGTGAAATGGAGTTGAAAATTCAAAGGATCTGGTATGGTGATTGTTGTTTCTGCTACTTTCCCTTGTTTTTGTCAGCGAGGAAGTGTGTGAGGTGCTACTGCAGGCGCTACATGTGGGTCACCTGGACGCCACCACCACAGACATGGCTCTGGCAGCTCTACAGAAACTTTCTATAAGGTGGCTACTTGACGTATGTTATAATAACAGGGATTGATAATGTTCAGTTCTTTTGTGCGCTTTGTAATTCCTAAATTTATTGTTACAACCACTTAGAGACGGTATAGAAGGAAATAAGAATGGAGGAACACTGCAGCAGGTCTACTGGCCCATACTAGGCAGGTCCTTCTCAAACCCAAACCCACTTACAAAAATATTTGCCCAACTCATTTTCAGTGATATTGTTATATTAGTGTTAAGTTAGTGTTAAGGTTGGCCGATATCCTTGCATATTAAAGGGTTTTCTGTATGCACAAGAAAATATTATTCACCTCTGTACAACATTGTATTATGCTGAAATAATCTTAATTATGTGAACGGTGGACTGAACAATCACGATTTTTTTTTTTTTAGCTGAATGATCCACATGGATTCTTATACACCAAACAGGATTTAAATCCAATCACGGAATTCCGATATCACGAATCACCTGCACGAATTTTAGCTTTTTTGTGAAATATTTGGTTGATCAGGCTTGATCCACCGCGGGGCCTAGTCACGGACCGGGCCGCGGGGGCGTTAAATCCTGAACGATTTATAATGTTATTACGAAGGCATACTAACATTTGGCACCTCTTTTTTATGGTACAGGGGTGTGGTGCAGGGGGCGCTGATCGAGGGTGGTTTCTGTGGAATGGTAGTGAATACCCTGGCAGAGGTGCGCACCCTCACACCCTACACTCAGGAGTATGCATCAGCACTCTTCATGAACCTAACACTGCGCTCCGCTGGTCGTGCTCGCTGCCACCCACTAGCACCAAACTTCTCCCGGCGCTCATCCAACTTCTCACCTCCGTCCAAACTCACGTAACTCATTCACTTGGTTTTCTACTACTACTACTACCACTAATTGTACTACTTTACTACTACTACCACTAATTGTACTACTTTACTACTACTACTACTACCACTAATTGTACTACTTTACTACTACTACCACTAATTGTACTACTTTACTACTACTACTACTACCACTAATTGTACTACTTTACTACTACTACTACTACCACTAATTGTACTACTTTACTACTACTACCACTAATTGTACTACTTTACTACTACTACCACTAATTGTACTACTTTACTACTACCACTAATTGTACTACTTTACTACTACTACCACTAATTGTACTACTTTACTACTACTACCACTAATTGTACTACTTTACTACTACTACCACTAATTGTACTACTTTACTACTACTACCACTAATTGTACTACTTTACTACTACTACTACTACTACCACTAATTGTACTACTTTACTACTACTACCACTAATTGTACTACTTTACTACTACTACTACTAATTGTACTACTTTACTACTACTACTACTACCACTAATTGTACTACTTTACTACTACTACTACTAATTGTACTACTTTACTACTACTACTACTACCACTAATTGTACTACTTTACTACTACTACTACTAATTGTACTACTTTACTACTACTACTACTACCACTAATTGTACTACTTTACTACTACTACTACTAATTGTACTACTTTACTACTACTACTACTACTACCACTAATTGTACTACTTTACTACTACTACTACTACCACTAATTGTACTACTTTACTACTATTTTTTTTATTTTATTTTATTTTTATTTTATTTAGAAATTTTAGCATACAAACAGAGGTACAAAAAATACAGATAAGAGCAGCATGCCAAAGCCACTTATACTATGCATAGCATTACGGGCTGGCTTAAAATTAACTTAAGATTAACTAAGCAATGATGAAATCGGTGATAAAACATTATTGTAAACAGATAACTATAAAATACAAATGAGTATTACAAAGACAGGTCCTATGCTTGCATGCATTGCATGCATAGAATGGAGTATTCTGTTAGGTAGTGTATTTAAAAAAAAATAACAAAGTTAGGTTTAACATTTGTGTGATATAATTGTGAGTAACATTTAGGATATACAATTTATATGGTTCAGTTATTCAGTATTTATTTGGTTTTGAGTGAGTAAGTGAACCTTGAGAAGAGACTTGAATTTATAAACAGGTAGTGTTTCTTTTATATTTACAGGTAATGAATTCCAGATTTTAGGGCCTTTTATGTGCATTGAGTTTTTGCATAGCGTGAGATGGACACGAGGAACATCAAAGAGTGATCTGTGCCTTGTATTATGGTCATGGTTCTGTTGAGGTTGGCAAGGAGATGTTTGAGGGGAGGGTTAATATCAGAGTTAAGTGTTCTATGTATGTAATAAGTGCAATAATAAGTATGGATGTTTTGTATGGTGAGTAGGTTGAGTGTATTGAATATTGGTGGAGTGTGCTGCCTGTAGTGAGAATTTATCATTCTAACTGCAGCCTTTTGTTGGGTAATTAGTGGTCTGAGATGGTTAGTTGTTGTTGAGCCCCATGCACAAATTCCATAGGTGAGATAGGGGTAAATAAGAGAGTGATATAGGGCCAGGAGGGCTGACTGTGGAACATAGTACCGTATCTTCGATAGTATGCCTACAGTCTTGGAAATTTTCTTAGAAATTTGTTGTATATGTGTATGAAATTTGAGTCTTTTATCGAGGTGGATTCCTAAGAATTTTCCCTCTGTTAGCTTTGTGATAGGTGATCCGTTTATCGTTATGTTAAGAGGTACATCTGTAGCTCTGCTACCAAACTGAATGAAGTAGGTTTTGTCAATGTTTAGTGTAAGTTTGTTAGTCCTCATCCAGGTAGATATTTTCTGTAATTCGGTGTTTACAGTATTGGCTAGCGTGACTGGGCTCGGGTGAGAGAAGACGTATGTGGTGTCATCTGCAAAAAGTGTGGGTTTGAGTAATTGCGAAGCATTTGGTAGGTCATTTATGTATAGGAGAAAGAGAAGAGGGCCAAGGACACTTCCCTGTGGGACACCAACTGTAATTGGTTGTGCGGAAGAGCTTGCCCCATTTGCGTACACATATTGGCTTCTGTTGCTGAGGTAAGACTTGAGGTAGTTGAGGGAGTGCACTCTAATACCATAGTGTGACAATTTTACGTGGAGCAAGTCATGGTCAACTGTATCAAAAGCTTTACGTAAGTCAATGAAGATCCCCAGTGGGACTTCTTTTTTCTCTATTGCAGTGTATATATGTTCTACTACTACCACTAATTGTACTACTTTACTACTACTACCACTAATTGTACTACTTTACTACTACTACCACTAATTGTACTACTTTACTACTACCACTAATTGTACTACTTTACTACTACTACCACTAATTGTACTACTTTACTACTACCACTAATTGTACTACTTTACTACTACTACCACTAATTGTACTACTTTACTACTACTACCACTAATTGTACTACTTTACTACTACCACTAATTGTACTACTTTACTACTACTACCACTAATTGTACTACTTTACTACTACTACTACTAATAATAATAATAATACTATTACTACTACTACTACTACTACTACTACTACTAATAATAATAATAATAATAATACTTCTGCTGCTAGTACTACTACTACTACCACTAATTGTACTACTTTACTACTACTACTACTAATAATAATAATAATACTATTACTACTACTACTACTACTACTACTACTAATAATAATAATAATAATAATAATACTTCTGCTGCTAGTACTACTACTACTACCACTAATTGTACTACTTTACTACTACTACTACCACTAATTGTACTACTTTACTACTACTACTACCATAATTGTACTACTTTACTACTACTACTACTACTACTACTACCACTAATTGTACTACTTTACTACTTCTACTACTAATAATAATATTAATGCTAATACTAATACTTCTGCTGCTAGTACTACTACTACTACTACTACTACTACTACTACTACTACTACTACCACTATTACTACTACTACCACTACTACTACTACTACTACTACTACTACTACTACTACCACTATTACTACTACCACTACTACTACTACTACTAATAATAATAATAATAATAATAATACTGCTACTGCTACTATTTATTCTTATTCATTGTCATCATCATATTAATTATTATTATTATTATTATTATTTTTATTATTATTATTATATCTTGGATTCCTTGTGACAAAGGTGGTGCCATATGTGACGGGTGCCCTGTACAGCCTACTGTCACACTCCAGCCTACGCCAGGAGGCCTTCACCATGGGTCTGGACTCAACACTCGAGCGACTGGCACAGGTATTATTATAGTACATTCTGCAGGTTTAACCCAGTAAAGTCACAACACTGAGCTCTTCACCAGGTCCTTCAATTACTGTAGAAGAATTTTACAAACTCTCCTGTTTTTTTTCTTGCTTTTTCCTGTTTTTTTTTATTTCCTCCCGGTGACAAGGTTCAGCTAGGACATATACACTGAAAGGTGTATGTCTCTCATTACATATTCACCGTGTGTTTACTATAATCCCTAGTTTAGGGATTAACGTAATTTTGATTGGTGATAAACAGGTTACCCTTATGTGATTTTAATGACTTTTATGCAGTTTTAATGACCCTTATGTTGTTTTAATGATCCTTATGTTGTTTTAATGACCCTTATGTTGTTTTAATGACCCTTATGTAGTTGATTAACTTTAAACCCAACTAACCAGCCAGTAAGTATTTGTTTAATTTTGATGCACCAGTACATTGCAATGTTTACCAATCGCTCATTAAGAATATAAGAAAGGAGCACTGTAGCAGGCCTACTGGCCCATGCTAGGCAAGTCCAAGTCACACCCACTCATGTTAGGTAAGACTCGTCAGGAATTAGGTCAAATATCTCCTGACAAGGGTCTTATTCCTACGAAAGCCTGCTACCACAGCTTTCGTTCATCCTACCGAGGCCTTCCGCTGGCTTACCGGTCCATCCCTTTAAAAAAATGAAGGTAATATTATGTACTGTCTTTGGTGTAACTATCTTTAAAAAGATACTGAACAAATATATGAATGGGAGGAGCTGGGTTTGATTGGTGTCGTGGCTACAGAAGCAGATTCTTGGGTAGCTTTGGGGAATAGGCTAGTAACTTTCTTAATGTATAAGTATACATAAATACAGTTACATAATGCAATAATGCACAGTAAACAGGTGATATCACAATATGAATACTAATCACTGTGAAAAAAATAGTGAACTTCTAAGCGCTTTCGTGGTTTCTTACATTATCAAGGAATGTGAGAAATCACGAAAACTCTTGGAAGTTCAATATTCTATTCACAGTGGTTGTTCTGCATACAGTTACATAAATTATCATACATAGCAGCATATGTGTAGATTACCTAAGATAACCCAACAAAGTTAGTGACTTATTTCTAGTGGGGTCCCTGAATCCCAATGCAAATACATGGGTGGTTTTGAAAAGGACCTGCCCTGTACGGACCAGTAGGATTGCTGCAGTGTTCCTCCATTCTTATATTTTTCATATGTTCTTGTGTTCAGGGCGGCAGCACTGAGCAGCGACGTCAACTAGAGTATATAGTGGAGCAGATTCGTCGTGATCCACCACTCTCCCCGCCTCCCTCACCAGACCCAGTGCTTGATATGGAGGTATGTGACGAGTCACACACACCTGCAACACCCTGTCCGGAAAATAAGTCACAGGGGAAAAAATCACAAAGTCACAATTTTGGCTAGGAGAAAGTCAGTTAAAAAAAAGGGTCATAATTTTGGCTAGGAAAAAATTCACATTTTATTTAAATGCCATAAACAGTTTAAGTAATACAAAAAATATTTTAAATCAGTTATTAACTGACAATATATGAATCGTACGACTCTTACGGATGTTGGTAAATTGTCATAAATAGTAACATATGTGCAGAACAACCACTGTGAAAAAATAGTGAGCTTCCAAGTGCTTTCGTGGTTTCTCACATTATCAAAGAATGTGAGAAATCACGAAAGCGCTTGGAAGTTCACTGTTTTTTTCACAGTGGTTGTTTTGCATACTGTGATATCACTTGTTTACTGTGAACTTATTTCATAGTAACATATGTGTAAATTACCAAGGATAACCCAGAAAAGTCAGACAAAGTGACTTATTTCCAGTGGGGTTCTTACGTCTGCTGAATGATAGATGGGAATGTGGCAGTGCAGAGGCTCATTTGAACAGTGATGTTGAAGCCTCCAGTTATAGGCATTGATTGTTTCGGATCACTAAACCGCCTGTTCTAGTCCCATCACTCTGAATTTCGTTGTAAATGTCCTACAGGAGGACCCTGAGTGGCTGGAGGAGGAGCTGGATGTTGATGACCCCGTTCGAGCCCCGCCTCACGCTCCATCTGGCGAGGATCTGCTAGCTTGGCGGTACACACTACACCCGGGTAACCCACAACAAATTCTGCTCACACTTGTTGCTTTATAACCAATAATCTAATCATTCTGTTGGAGAATGAGTCACAGTTGCCTGCCTGAAGAACTTAACAGATAACACTGGTCAACAAAAAAATAGTTGACAAAGGTATTTGAAGGTATTTAGAGTATTTTGGGGGTTGCTGAATTGGAAAATGGCAGTAGGTTTTTCAAATTGGCTCTAATTTGTGAGATATTGCATACCTACATTCAACAGGGAACTGTATGGTGAATGCGAATGGTTTCAGTCAGTACAAGAAAATCAAATGGGAATATCCTGATTTGGAGTCAGCAAGGAGACCTGTGCCACAGTGAAGACGTTACTTTACCCGTGTTTTCAGCACTACCTGACCTTCCGTTGTCAGATGTTGAAGAAAGTCAGGGTTCAGGATGTAACAGTGGAAGTGAATATGAAGCAAGTAAGCATTTCATCGCCCTATCAGTTTTCCCGAGAACTCGGTGATCTTATATGTGACAGTCTGTCAAAGCAAGCATCTGAACTTTTAGCATCCAGACTAAAAGAAGAATTGTCTACAACAAGAAGTTAAAATAACAGCTTATCGGACAATAGAAATTGAACTCCTTCTTTACTTCAGCCAAGATGAAGACTTGTATACTGCAGTAACATCCCTGGACTTCGTCTTCGAATAAGACTTGAATATTACCAGGAGATTAGCGGCTGTTTATAGACAGCTCCATTAAAAGCTTGAGATGTGTTTTAGTGCACAATGGTAACCATTATGCATCTCTTGCAGTTGCTCACTTAAAACTTAATGAAGAATGCGAAAATATCAGAATGGTTTTGCAGAAGCTTTGCTATCATGAGCACAAGATGTCTGTGTTGATCTGAAGATGGTAAACTCCTTGCTTGGGCAACAGAGTGGATATACAAAGTACCCTTGTTTCAACAGTTTGTGGGACAGTAAGGCGAAGGCAGATCATTGGACAAAAGTGACATGACCTTCAAGAGAAAACATGAGTGTAGGTTCAGCAAACATCATTAACGAGTCATTAGTTGGCAGGGATAACATGCTGCTACCACTCCATGTTAAGTTAGGGTAATGAAGCAAGTCGTTAAGATCTTGGATAAAGATGGTAATTTCTTCAAATACATTTGTAGATCGTTCCTTGCACTAAGTATGTATGGAAAAAACAGAAAGCTGGAATCTTTGATGGTCCTCACATTATGAAGCTGTGTGTCAGTTGTCAAGAACTTCTGGTGTGAACATCAAAATGGTATACAATACCGACAGGTTGTTAGGTAAGACACATATGCAACAGAATAAAGTTGTCTAACTGTTGCATGTGTGTCTTACCTAACAACTTCTGGTGTAATCACAAAGCAGACAATTATGAAGAACTGGCTCAAAACATGCTGACAAGCTTCAAGAATTTAGGTACTAATATAAGCATAAAGATACTTTCTCCACAGCCACCTACACAGATTTCCACATAATCTTAGTGAGGTCGGTGAGGAACAAGGCAGAGGCTCCAGCAAGATATAAAGGTGTGTTCGGTAAAAGCACACAGGTGGAACTAATGTGACATTTTATTGTGGCAACGTTTCGCTCTCCAGGAGCTTTGTCAAGTCGTGACAAACAATACATGGACACAGAGGGTAAAGGTAATGGAGGAAAGGTATCAAGGTAGACGGGATACACACATGACGGCAGACTATTTCTGGAGCCTCCAACGAGACAGTGTTGATGACCAACATAGAAGAAAATCGTACAACGTTTTCAAATGCATTAATTAGTGGTATCTGGATTATTTTACTATGTTAATCTGTTATAATATAGAATGAAGTCTAGTATCTGTTACGTGATTTGACTTTAGCATGATCTAAAAAATAATTTCAATACGATTTGTAAGTTACCTCCGCCTGATAAATATATTTTTCACATAAATATGTTTTTCTGTGTGATACAAAATTTATCAAAAACTAGAGCCAATCAAGCAAAACCGATGATATATTGGGAATCAACACCACAAACTTACCCCTAAAACCAGTGGAATATCATTGACCAAAAAAATGAGTGTTGACCAGTTTAATCAGCACATCGGAGACGAAACTTCAGATGACGTTTCGCCCATCCATGATTATTATTGTCTCACAACTGAGCGAGAAAGAGGAGAGAAATCCAGAAGACAGATTGGAAAGATCTGCGATTCAATAATGGTCAAGGAGCGAACTAAATATGTAAAATTTTCTCCGACAATATGCATTCTGATTACTTAGTCAGGTTTTAACGACAATCGGTATTATATTACAAGAAAACGTGGAATAATAGTTATTGAATAGTTCCTGAAGTCATCTTGTAAATGTACAACAGTGAGAAGGTGATATTTAATACGTAATAATGTCCACAGGTGAGACTGAGGAGTCTGGAAGACGCAGTGACATCCCTCCTGCCAGGTACGTCCATCACTAAACCTACCTCAAGCCTATTAAATGAGACAGTTTTGCAACATTTCGGTATCTTTATTCTGGAAATGTTCGCCAGAGTGGCTTCTTCAGTTCAGTGCAGAAAGAGGTACAAGATGAGTTTGAGGTAATCAGTCCCTCAGCCTGGAGTAGATATGTTCAGTCCATCAATCTTGACAAAGGTGCAGCATATTCATTATGTTCAGGTAGGTTTGCCAGGACGGGTCCTGGTCCGGGTCTTCCCCATGTGGTGACCCGGTAGTGGCTCCCGGAGGAATGTCGAGGTTGGTATATGTGATGTATCATTTACAGCCCTATGACTGAGGCAGCCCTGTGACAAGGGCGCGGTGAGTCTTCTGCAGATCAAGTGGGGGCAACCGTATGACAACGGCGCTGTGATTCCTTCAACTCCAGTTGAGTCATCCCTGGCAGTCAGGCCGCAGCCCGAGTGCCAGAACGACTCAGGAGATTCTCTGGAGGTATGTTGAACACCTAACGTCTGACGTCTAACGTGAACGTGGTGGTGCAGCATATTCGCGGAGATGAAGCTTATATACTGATGACAGATGAGGTGCAGCAGTGGTAGGCGGAGTCACCAGCGAACAAAGCCACTAGTGGAAGCAGGTCATGTCTATGGATTAGACAATTTTTTTTATTAACACATCGGCCGTTTCCCACCAAGGCAGGGTGGCCCGAAAAAGAAAACATAATATAAGAAAGGAGGAACACTGCAGTAGGCCTGTTGGCCCATGCTTGGCAGGTCCTTTACAATACTAACCCAATAACAGTACATTCAGCCAACCCACTTTCAGTGCTACTCTACAGTGTAAGCTGTGTTCCTGCAGCTGACAAGATGTGAATAGGTTTACAAAACTGAGTTGATAAATGAGATACATGTACAGCATATGGGTATCTTTATCCTGGAAATGTTTCGCCACACAATAGCTTCTTCAGTCCAATGCAGAAAGAGGCAGAAGATGAGGAGTTTGAGGTAATCAGTCCCTCAACCTGGAATCGATGTGTTCAGTCCATGGACTGATGGACTGAACACATCGATTCCGGGTGGGGGACTGATTACCTCAACTTTTTACTCTCCTTACCCATTTCTACTTTGTATTGGACTGATGAAGCCACTGTGTGGCGAAACGTTTCTTCAATAAAGATTCCCATGTGTTGCATAAGTGTCTCATTCTTCAAATAAAGAAAAACACTGCAGCGAGCCGACGTGCCTTTATCATAGAGCTGTCCAGCCCAAAGAGCTGTAAACGGTACTAGTACAAACTGACATTTCTTTCGAGAGTCTGCCGGGTCACCACATGTTAAAGACCCAGGCCCGGACCCGTCCAGCAAAACCTTATGAATAAAGTTGGCCTACTGCAGGTCCTTCGTGTTGCTCCATGTTGTATGTGCCAGTTTGGTTTGTTGTGCTGCCTGACCGGCTACCTTATTGTGCGCTCCGTGATCATCCTGTGAGTGGTGTCAATGGTCAAAACAATAACAGTATACAATACCGAGAATCTGATGAAATTTGATAAAAGTGCAACAAACCCGGGTATCTGCGTTATGAGACGTACCAATGGCTTTTCAATTCAATACTGAGATGAAAAAAGAGACGTTTGTGTCTTTTTTCCCCCGTGTTGATATTTTGTCATTTCGACGGATGATGGTGAAAGATGAGATCATCAGTCTCTCAGCCTTGAAAGTCTTAGAAACCCTTTTGTCTTGATGCTTCCGAGTCATCAGAACTAAGGTACTGAATTTCTTCTTTAAAGCTGCGAGACTGATTACCTCATCTTCCACTATCTTCCATTCAATATCCCTATCGAACTGGAAAAGCCACTGGTTGGCGATACGTCTTCAAAATGATGGCAGCCAGGTATTGCACATGTCTTGTTCATCACAAAAAAACAGGATTACAGAGGTCACAATGGGTTTTATCAGATTCTTTATTTAGTTACACATTTACAAATATTAGTCATAATAATTTAGAATCCTTCACATCAGGTTCGCGATTCCTTCCTCAGGTCGGCGCCTGTGATCCCTGGGATCCTGGACGGGGCATAGCACTGACCAGCGAACCCACAACAACAACCCGCGGCCCAATTCGGACGGCTTCGTTACCCAGTACAGCTGTAGGTAAAAAACAAACACGGAACCGGCAGAGTTTTGAATCCGTGGCAATTGAGTCCTAAAACTCCCAAAAGAAAATGATAGATAGAAAATGAGAACGTTCAAAGCCAAGCCAATGATGATCCTTTTAAAAATCATTGTTTTTCTCTAGGCTGGAATACTGCTGTACATTAACATCTCCGTTCAAAGAAGGTGAAATTGCAGATCTAGAGAGGGGTACAGAGAACCTTACTGCACGTATAAGTTCTGTCAAACATCTCAACTACGGGGAAAGCTTGGAAGCACTTGACTTGTACCTCTGGAACGCAGGCGAGAGAGAGATATAATCTCCACTTGGGAAATCCTAGAAGGGATGGTTCCGAATCTGCCCACAGAAATCACACTCACTAAAAAAAAAGACTGGGAAGGCGATGCAAATACCCCCAATGAAAAGTAGTGGGCGCCATTGGTACACTAAGAGAAAACCCTTTAAGTGTCCGGGCCCAAGACGGTTCAACGCCTCCCACTAGGCATAAGGGGAATTAACAATAGGCCCCTGGCTACCTTCAAGAGGGAGCTGGACAGATATTTAAAGTTGATGCCTACACGGGGCTGGGTCGTACTTGGACTACGTGCGGTCATCATAACACCTCTTGGGTCAGCCGGACCCCCGGGGGAGGCCGGGTCGGGGACCGGGCCCGGGGGCGTTGACCTCGAATACCCCCAGGTAGGCAGTGTTATGAAAAAGGACATAAGTGCAACTAATGCGACATTTATTGTGGCAGTACCACATGTGCCCTTTTTACCTAACATATTGTCGGTAATTCTACCAACATATTCAGGGCATGTTTTTTAGGTTTTCTTGGGAATGTTTTCAAATGGGGGGGCAGGAACCGGGGACTCAGAAGCGCTGTATCGTAGCTGCTTGTTGACCATCCAAAGAAACCTTCAAACGGTATACTCCTGGATAAAAATAAAAATATTTATTTCTATAAGTACAGAAAAAGGGATCAGACCATAGCGACCCTGTGACATACACTTATAGAAACCCCTTGTTATGCAGACTTTTGGGGAAAAATTGGGTCAGAATGTCTCCGATACAACACACCCCAATCGGCTAACACCCAGGTAGCTATTGTACGCTGGGTGAATAGGATCCCCGACCGGGACGCCCCCGGCCTCATGCGTGACTGAGTAGCTAGCGCTGAGCTAGGGGACCCCAAATAGCGTACTGTTAACAGTGAAAAGCAAAAGGGAAAAAACTCGGGGTGTTTACCCCACTCCCTTTTAACCGTATGTCGTTTACATCTTACTTTCCATTTTCAGTTAAGGGTTCGGTAGAACATAAATAACTGTAACACATACTTTTTTTTATTTGTTAATTTAAAACTTTAAACCTTTGCAGCAAAGGAAACTATCTATTTTAATTGATACGCGGATTAATATTAAATAAGGGGTAAAAATAAGGGAAGGGAAAACTCAGCTATCCTTTCTTTGGGTTCATTCGATTTTTTTCCATTTCTCAGGTGATATGACCCCCGTGGTTTATGCTCCCCCTTGGTAAATGATACACAAAATGCAAAAAGAGCCAAAGATTCATAAAATTGACAATCTTTTTAATGATAACTACAGATGCAGATTTTTTCCACAGCAGCAGCACCTGCACAGCAGAAACAACAACAAAAGCACATCACACACCAACAGCACAGCAGCAGGGGCTCAACAATGGGACTACCCATCTGATTCTGATGCCGGACACATACTATGTACATTTCCAAATCTAAGTAACCGCCTCGTAGCCCCTCCCCTTTTATTTTATTATTATTTTATTATTATTTTTAGTAGTATATAGTATTGAAACACTCGGTCTTTTCCACGAGTCAGGGGCCCGCATTTAAAAACGCCCCCTTCTGATTGCTTTGACCGCCAGAAGCTTTTCCTGATTTTTCAGTGGGAGCTTTTTGCATGCATTCAATGTATATTAAAATCTTTTTTTCTACAAATACATGTACAAAGTTTTTTTGCAATTGATACCATGACATACACTATATAGAAAAACCCCCTTTTTTAGACAGCATTTCCCGCAAATTAGGTAAATTTTTTCTCAGGATGACCCACACCATCGGGTAACATCCATACCACTTCATTATAAATAGGGACAACAGTGTAAGGAAAAAATGGAACCTACTGAACTATGTACAACTAAAAATAATTTTAAAATATAAATGACTACATTTCTTCCCAAATGTAACTGCCAACGGGTTTGACAAAACCCCCTATAACCTCTGCAATTTCTGCTCTTTAGCGCTACCACCCAGATGACTCCGGGTTTCACATTTAAAAATCCTCTAGTAAACCCCAATTAAAATAAACTAAGGGCAAGGGGGAGCATACCGTAGGGAGGATTACGAATTACAGTGCGTATTTTTCAAAAATTTCTTTCCCCCCTTAACCGTATTTTTCCCGGGAAAAGGGCACATGTCGGGTGCCCTTTCTTGCAAAATGCATCTTTTTTTACGACGCTTCGCCCCCACATGGGCTTAAAAAAATCACATTGACAGAGCCAACTGGGGGGAAAAAAATTTGTTAAAAAGGATTGCCATTAAAACAACATTTTTGGGAAGATTTTATTATCTTAATTTTTTTTCAGGAAGTAATTTACAAATTTTCCCCGGGTTAGTTTGGACTATTTCTAATTTAAATTTTTTTTTTTTGTGAACAGAACAAATAATCTTTCCAATTTTGGGACGTCTACAGATTCAAAATATCACAGAAACTACATGATGGTTCTTTCCTGGATTATTGACCCTCTATGATGTATAATTCAAATAAAGTGTTTAGTCGACTGGTGTGAGTCGCATCCTGGGAACAAAAATAATCTCAGTTGCGGGAAATGTTCTACATAACCAGGAACTTTCTATATAGTATGTCACTGATGTCAGCTATGGTCTGTATAAGTTGTAGCATGTACTTGTAGAAATAAGTTATTATTATTATTATTATTATTATTATTATTATTATTATTATTATTATTATTATTATTATTATTATTTTTCAACAAGTCGGCCGTCTCCCACCGAGGCAGGGTGACCCAAAAAAAGAAAGAAAATCCCCAAAAAAGAAAATACTTTCATCATTCAACACTTTCACCTCACTCACACATAATCACTGTTTTTGCAGAGGTGCTCAGAACACAACAGTTTAGAAGCATATACGTATAAAGATACACAACATATCCCTCCAAACTGCTAATATCCCAAACCCCTCCTTTAAAGTGCAGGCATTGTACTTCCCATTTCCAGGACTCGAGTCCGGCTATATAAAATAACTTGTTTCCCTGAATCCCTTCACTAAATATTACCCTGCTCACACTCCAACAGCTCGTCAGGTCCCAAATACCATTCGTCTCCATTCACTCCTATCTAACAGGCTCATGCACGCCTGCTGGAAGTCCAAGCCCCTCGCCCACAACACCTCCTTTACCCCCTCCCTCCAACCTTTTCGAGGACGGCCCCTACCCCGCCATCCTTCCCCTATAGATTTATATGCTCTCCATGTCATTCTACTTTGATCCATTCTCTCTAAATGACCAAACCACCTCAACAACCCCTCTTCAGCCCTCTGACTAATACTTTTATTAACTCCACACCTTCTCCTAATTTCCACACTCCAAATTTTCTGCATAATATTTACACCACACATTGCCCTTAGACAGGACATCTCCACTGCCTCCAACCGCCTCCTCGCTGCTGCATTCACAACCCAAGCTTCACACCCATATAAGAGTGTTGGTACTACTATACTTTCATACATTCCCTTCTTTGCCTCCATAGATATCGTTTTTTGCCTCCACATATACCTCAATGCACTACTCACATTTTTTTCTTCATCAATTCTATGATTAACCTCATCCTTCATAAATCCATCCGCTGACACGTCAACTCCCAAATATCTGAAAACATTCACTTCTTCCATACTCCTCCTCCCCAATTTGATATCCAATTTTTCTTTATCTAAATCATTTGATATCCTCGTCACCTTACTCTTTTCTATGTTCACTTTCTACCTTTACACACACTCCCAAACTCGTCCACTAACCTTTGCAATTTTTTTTTAGAATCTCCCATAAGCACAGTATCATCAGCAAAATGTAACTGTGTCATTTCCCATTTTGTATTTGATTCCCCATAATTTAATCCCATCCCTCTCCCGAACACCCTAGCATTTACTTCTTTTACAACCCCATCTATAAATATATTAAACAACCATGGTGACATTACACATCCCTGTCTAAGACCTACTTTTACCGGGAAGTATTCTCCCTCTCTTCTACACACCCTAACCTGAGCCTCACTATCCTCATAAAAACTCTTTACAGCATTTAGTAACTTACCACCTATTCCATATACTTGCAACATCTGCCACATTGCTCCCCTATCCTCTCTATCATATGCCTTTTCTAAATCCATAAATGCAATAAAAACTTCTCTTCTATTATTATTATTATTATTATTATTATTATTATTATTATTATTATTATTATTATTATTATTATTATGTAAATTCTCATTCGTGAAATTAAAGTAACTTTACCTACAGGGCGTTAGAGATGGGAAGAGGCAAAGACGGTGATGATGGAGGTGAGGGGAGGTGCTGAGAATTACCGGGAGGTATGGGGAGAGAGTCAGGAAGTGGAGTTGTCACTCCCACTCCATGGAGCCGCCACCACACCACCACGTCCTCATTCACCTCACGACTTTGTTCCACCTGACCAACACAACCTGGCAAGAGGTCATTATGGGAGTGCAGAGTGGTATTAATTTTTTTCTAGTCGTTTCTTGAAATTATGTTCTGCAAACGTTCGTTAAGCAGAGGTTGGCTTATGTTCGTAGAAAAGCACTTTTAACCCATATTGATCATATTGAACCTGGGGAATGAGAGAGAATCAGGTTCAGAGAAATGTGGAAGAGGTAGTTTTTAAAAATAGTCACAATACTATGACTGGAACAATACACAAATAACCACACATAGAAAGAAGCTTATGATGACATTTCAGTCTGACTTGGACCATTAACTAGTCACACACTAACACACGAAGGTAAGGGAGTCAGGATATATACGCAAGGAGAGCAGGGACTGGAGAAAGAGGTAGAAAGATGAAAAGAAGGAAATGGAGATAGTAGTGTGAGTAGCAGTTGTAGTTGTAGTGGGTAGGAGAAGTAGGAGAGGAACAACAGTCAGAGAGTTTAGTAAAGCGAGGTGGTAGCAGCAGTAGTAGTAGTAGAGGTAGTCTAAGAACAATAAAAAAGAAAACTGCAGGAAAGCTAATGGCCCACGAGGATGAGACTAAAAACAAGGGAAAACACACATAGGACAGAACACACCTAGATAGAAGAAAGGAAAGCAAAAGAAAATATAGGAAAGGGGAAGAGGTAAGGCGAGGAATAAAGATCAGGTCAAGTCATGAGTGTCCTGAAGTTTGGAGCATTTGATAATGTAAAGAGAAAGGCAGGTATCTAATCTGTAGAAACAAAGCCACAACTAAGATTCATATGAGGAAAGAATCCCTTATACACAACTTTCCTCATGTGAATCCTAGTCCTGGCTTTGTGTCTGTAGATGCCTTCCTTTCTCATTACACTGTCAAATGCTCCAAACTTTATCTCCTCGCCTTATCTCTTCTCCTTTCCTATATGTTTGCTTTCCTTTCTTCTGTCTAGGTGTGTTCTGTCCTATGTGTTATTTTGGTCTCATCCTCGTGGGTCATTAGCTCTCCTGCAGTGTTCTTTTTTCTTGTTCTTAGACTATTACTATTACTACTACTACTACTACTACCTCGCTTCACTACACTCTTTGACTTGTGCCACTACTACTATTCCCTCTACCCACTATAACTACTACTGCTACTCCCACTACCTCTTCCAGTACTATCTCCACAATATTTTTATCTTTCTGCCTCCCTCCTCGCGAATATATACTGACTCCCTTACCTTCGTGTGTTAGTGTGTGACTAGTTAATTGTCCAAATCGGACCGAAATGTCGTCATAAGTTTATTACTCCTATGTGCGGGTTATTTGGATAGCTCTAATTCCAAGTATCAAAAGCCTTTCACCAACGTCAAGTCACTCACTGGAACTGAACCTGTATGTTTCAGGAGAGAACTCTGAAGGACGCGAGTCTCCCACACTGTTATCACCCAGTGCCACCTGCCCTGCTGAAGCTCTCGTCCCATACTTCACTAGACAACCTCACCACCACGATCCTCATCACTACCTCAAAGTATATCTACAATTTAATCTTACCTTTAAGTACTAATAGTGAAAGTGGTACTTTTTTGAGAATATTTTATGTATATAGAAAGGAAAAAGAGAATGTAGTCTGTGTGTGTGTTCTACTGAATTATTATTACTTGTATATTAAAAGTGGTAAACCCGTGTGGGTCATGGAGAACACTGGAGAAGGGAAACTTTGGGGAGATATAATGAGAACATTAATAACATGTGTTGAGTCTTGTTGTGTCTCAAGTGTTGATTCCTGTTATGTTTTACAGAACTCGTCAGGGACATCCAACATGAGTCCAGCACTCGTCAACGAGAATGGTGACGAAGACATGACCATCGTGTCATCCAGGTCGACCTCTGACCCGCCTGCAGAAGAACAACAACAACCACACTCGCTCGGCAACACCACCTTCAGAATAGGCAGCAATGTGCACGACAAAATAATAGAAGAAGAGGAGAAAGTTCTGAATGCAGCGAGGGTCACACACAGTCCTCCAGCAAGGGTCACACAGAGTCCTCCAGCGAGAGTGGCACACAGTCCTCCAGCGAGGGACATCGATGTGGGAAAGGATTTTCAGTTCAGCAACATAGTAACCGCTGCTTCTGACGATGGTCCAACGATGGATTTATCCGGAGAGTCTGTGGATCCCGAGAATGAAACTACGGAAGCTGAACGGAAAGTGGCGGTGGAGGAACCACAAGAAAGTCCCGTGGAAAAGGAAGATGGAAAAAAAAGCCACCAAGATGTAAAGAGAATCCTGCTGCCTGCAGCAGCTTCTCCACCTCCGCCACCCAAACCAGGCACCAGAGACACAGGTACGCCAATAACCTCGTTATATTCATGGGGAAGTTCTAAACTCACAAGGGACATACAGTGCCGGGGCAGTGGGAGGTAATCAGGTTTAATCCAGGGAAGGAAAGGGTAGCTTCACTTCCATGGATGAAACGCTTTTCACCAGTATTAAGAAACCTCCCTTATGTATTCAAGTGACGGAGCTGTGCTGAGTCAGTGACATAATGGGGAAAGGGGGGGGGGGTCTGTGCTGTGTTATCCATACTCTTGATATATCAGATACATATGCAACTTTTTCACCACACAGTAGCTTCATTAGTCCAGTACAAAGAAAAAATAGTGAAGATCAGAAGGAGATTGAGGTAATCAGTCCCTCACCCTAGAGTCGATGTAATCTTGATAAGAATCAAGTGTTGCATATGTGTCTAATGTATCACTTGTCGGTTCTTTGAACCATTTATCGTCATCCACACGGGTTTAGCGTTTATTGAATGTCACAGGAACCAAAGAAAGGAGGGCAGGGGAGTGAGGGGAGGTTAAGGCTCATTATAAGAGGTTCCCGCCGTTGTTTGACATTATTGTATAACACTAAAAGGTTGTTTCTTAATGTGACCTTTGACAAGCAAATGACAATTATACAAACTTTTATTTCTTCAAGATACAGTAGTACATAGTACAATACTAGTAGTGATGATTTCTACAGAGCGGTCTCTTCTACAGAGCGGCTCCCACAGTACGGTCTCCTCGGTACGGTCTCCTCTCAGCGGTCTCCTCCCGAAAGGTCTGCGGCTGAGCGGACTCCTTTTCACACCTTCATGCTAATGACCTTGACCTCACCCTCGACCACCTCGCCCTCAACCCCCCACCCACGCCCCCCACCCTGCGCCCGTGCGCCCTGCCCGCGTGCCTGCCCCGACCGCGGCCACCCCCGCACCCCGACCGGCGGCCACCCCCGCGCCCCAACCGGCGGCCACCCCCGCGCCCCGACCGGCGGCCGCCCCCGCGCCCCGACCGGCGGCCGCCCCCATGCCCTGCCCCACGCCCGCCCTCGCGCCCGCCCCGCGCCTTCTGCAGCATCGTCCGGATCGTCCCCACCCCCCGAATTTTTTCCGATTTTTTTGAATTTTTTTTGAATTTCATTTTCTTGTGCTCTCCATCTCCTCGGATCAAATTTTTTGGGTTTCCCCCTATGGGTACCCCTCCCACCACCCACTTCCATCCCAAAATTCCTGCTCCATCTCCTTGGATCAAGTTTTTCTCGATATCAATAATACAAAGACTCCACTTCCTCAGATCAAGTTTTTTGAGGTTCCCCCTCCCACTTTCACCCCCATCCCAAATTTTTTTTTATTTTTTTTTATTTTTTTGTGCTCTCCTCGAATCAAGTTTTTAGATTCCCCCCTCTGGGGTTAAGCATTCAAAATAGACTCCCACTTGCATCCCAAATTCCCTGCTCCATCTCCTCGGATCAAGTTTTTCTCGATATCAATAATACAAAGATTTTCTCCCCACACCTCCCACCACCCACTTCTACCTCAAATATTCCTGCTCTACTTCCTTGGATCAAGTTTTTCTCGATATCAATAATACAAAGACTCCAACTCCTCGGATCAAGTTTTTGGATTCCCCCTATGGGGTTTCGAAATTCTTATGATCTCCTCAGATCAAGTTTTTCTCGATATCAATAATACGAAGATTTCCCCCATCATCCACTTCTACCCCAAAATTTCTGCTCCAACTCCTTGGATCAAGTTTTTTGGATTCCCCCCTCTAGGGGTAAGCATTCAAATGAACTCCCCCTATGGGGCATGGTACTTTCTCTTACTACAGGTCTAAACAAGTGTGATGTCACCCCACCTGTGTTTACTCGGCAGTCAGTGACGTCACGTGATGACCTCACACACACAGGCTGAATCTTGTCGAGCAGACAATAACTTAAAATGCAGGATAACACTAATACACAATATTTTCATTTATTTATTTATTATACAACCAATGCATTTCATATACATCCAACAAAAAAATTAATTGAAAAAAGGTACAATTCATTGACTAAAATCAACATAGAGTAATTCTTTTTCTCTTGAAGAAATTCTATGCATTTTGTTCTGGATCATCTTCGTCGTCACCATCTCAATATTACACATTTCATATACAACATAGGGAAAACATTACACATTTTCACTCTTAACTCAGGATAACCCAAATAATTCCACATTTTTTCGTTAATACCCACAACAATCCACAATTTCTTTACAAAAGATTCACTCTCCTCAAGTCTAGACATTTTTCTCGTTTTAACTATTTCGTCAGAAAAAGTCATCACAACACTTACAACTTATAACCACTTTCGATAAATTCACTAGTCGCAATTTTACATATTACGAAGTTAATACGCCGTGCGCACACACACAAACACACACAAAACACACACACATGCACATGCACACACACACACACACACACACCCCACACACACACACACACACACACACACACAACACACACACACACACACACCTCACTTTACTTTGAACACCTTCAAAACACACTCATAAATCATTAAATACTCACAAAAAAATACCTTTGAACATTTCCAAACAACACCGAAACACTTCCAAGACAACATTTTGAATACTCCTAAATAAGATTTGACATCTCTAATTTATTTTACACTTATATTATTTCATTAAATTACAACTCACTACCCAAACTCTTCCCTCATTCTCCAGATTTTTACAACAGTATCACAAAAACTAACTCAAACACTTTACTTTGAACAACACCAAAAACACCTTCAATTACCTTTGAATACTCCAAAAACATCATTCGAACACCCCCAAATCACCAATGAATGCTCCCAGAACACCTTCATAAATACTCTTGCACATCATTTGAACACCTTCAAAACACTCTCATAAATCATTGAATACTCACAAATACACCACTGATTACTACTAATACACCACTGAATTCTGTCAAAACACCACCAAAATCACCATAAACTAAGATCAACATCACAGACTAACACCAATTTTCACACAAATTTCTATGAAATGGGTGTTAGCTGGTGATGCTAAACTTAGTTTCTTGGTGATTTTGACGGTGTTTTGGGAGTATTCAAAGGAGTTTGATGATGTTTCTTGAATGTGTTCAAATGATGTTTTTGGAATAATCAAAGGTAATTGATGATGTTTTTGGTGTTGTACAAAGTAAAGTGGTGTGTGTGTGTGTGTACTCGCCTATTTGTGGTTGCAGGGGTCGAGTCTTAGCTCCTGGCCCCGCCTCTTCACCGGTTGCTACTGGGCCCTCTCTCTCCCCGCTCCATGAGCTTTATCAAACCTCGTCTTAAAACTGTGTATGGTTCCTGCCTCTACTACGTCATTTTCTAGGCTATTCCACTGCCTTACAATTCTATGACTGAAGAAATACTTCCTAATATCTCTCTGACTCATTTGTGTCTTCAACTTCCAATTGTGGCCTCTTGTTTCTGCGTCCCCTCCCTGGAACATCCTGTCCTTGTCCACCTTGTCTATTCCACGCAGTATTTTATATGTCGTTATCATGTCTCCCCTGACCCTCCTGTCCTCCAATGTCGTCAGGCCGATTTCCCTTAATCTTTCTTCATAGGACATTCCCCTTAGCTCTGGAACTAACCTTGTCGCAAACCTTTGTACTTTCTCTAGTTTCTGACGTGCTTTATCAAGTGCGGGTTCCAAACAGGTGGCATACTCAGTATGGGCCTGACAACACGGTGTACAGTGTCTTGAACGATTCCTTACTAAGGTATCGGAATGCTGTTCTCAGGTTTGCCAGGCGCCCCATATGCTGCAGCAGTTATCTGGTTGATGTGTGCTTCCGGAGACATGCTCGGTGTTATACTCACCCCCAAGATCTTTCTCCTTGAGTGAGTTTGCAGTCTTTGGCCACCTAGCCTATACTCTGTCTGTGGTCTTCTGTGCCTTCCCCTATCTTCATGACTTTGTATTTGGCAGGATTAAATTCGAGAAGCCATTTGCTGGACCAGTGTCCAGTCTGTCCAGGTCTCTTGAAGTCCTGCCTGGTCCTCATCAGATTTAATTCTCCTCATTAACTTCACATCATCTGCAAACAGGGACACTTCTGAGTCTAACCCTTCCATCATGGTCGTTCACATATACCAAAAATAGCACTGGGTGTGTGGTGTGTGTGTGTGTGTGGTGTGTGTGTGTGTGTGTTGTGTGTGTGTGTGTGTGTGTGTGTGTGTGTGTGTGTGGTGTGTGTTAGTGTTGGTAATGTCTCATGACATAAGTGTATGAGTTAGTTTTTGTGATACTGTTGTAAAAATCTGGAGAATGAGGGAGGAGTTTGGGGGATGAGTTGTAATTTAATGAAATATGTAAGTGTAGATAAATTAGAGATGTCAAATCTTAAGATAAGAGATAAGATAAGATAAGATTTCGTTCGGATTTTTAACCCCGGAGGGTTAGCCACCCAGGATAACCCAAGAAAGTCAGTGCGTCATCGAGGACTGTCTTACTTATTTCCATTGGGGTCCTTAATCTTGTCCCCCAGGATGCGACCCACACCAGTCGACTAACACCCAGGTACCTATTTGCTGCTAGGTGAACAGGGCAACAGGTGTAAGGAAACGTGTCGAAATGTTTCCACCCGCCGGGAATCGAACCCGGGCCCTCCGTGTGTGAAGCGGGAGCTTTAGCCACCAGGCCACCGGGCCACCATCAGGCCACCGGGAGTAATCAAAATGTTGACTTGGAAATGTTTCAGTGTTGTTTGGAAAATGTCCAAAGGTGTTTATGTGAGTATTCAAATGATTTATGAGAGTGTTCGAAGTAATCTGTGGGTTGTTCTGTAGTGAGATGATAAAGGTTGTCGATGAGAGAATATTTCTTAAGAGATATTGAGAAAAGGTGGTCTCAAATGATGATGTATGAGAGTGTTTTGAAGGTGTTCAAAGTAAAGTGTGTTGTCTGTGTGTGCTAGTTGGTCATAGAATTTTGTGAATATCTTGGTTACAGTGATT